GCTTTTTAAAAAAACTGTACTTCACCTTAGGGTCAATGGTTGGAAACCAAAATATCAACCTTTGAGGTCATTGGAAATAAAAAACAATGTAATGGAAAATTCGAGAATGAGATGTTTTGACACACCACCAGACCAACTTCAAAAACAAAACCTTGGTATTCATTGTTTTTCTTACAGAACCAGTGTACATGTCAATCAACAACCTCCCTCTTCTATCCGTTTGTTTTCAGAAGTTTAGTCTGCCTCCATGAGCACCTTCCGAGCTCAAATACAACTACAGCTTTTGTTTTATGTCTGCATAATGTAGTCTCTAATTGCCAGTTCACCACATCAAAGGCGTAAATATGATTGACATGAAGTAAAGAATCAGGAGAGGGAGGAAATTAAAACCAAAAAAAATCCAGCTATGGAGTGGGAAAACTTCAAGCTCATGACCTCATTTATTGATGCTTTTTTTAATCTTTTGTTGTTTTTCTTTTACTGCCTGACATTCACTAGTTGGTCTCCTTTCAGGCTTTAGTACAATTGCCACACCAGTAAAGGATAAAATTAAGCTTGATTTGGTCCCACACATCTCACTGGCCTTGTTCCTGCCTAAAAGGGTGAGCATCTCGTCCCTTTTTGGCCGTGTTGTGTTTATTTTGCTTGCTACACAGTCCACACTGTGCACATGCCTGGACCATGCAACTAACTCTTGTCTAATATTATGATAAAACATAACAGCAGCTGCTGTGGTTAAACCCTGCCACTTGTGTTCATCATGACATTAGCTGGGAGATTTTTACATGTGCAAACTGTCAGTTTTGACCAGAAAATGACTGTCACGGGTGTTATTCAATTTCAAAAGGCTAAAAATGCTTTTAGACACCAAAATACTTGAAACAGACCAGTCCAAGCATAATCATTTGTTTACAAGAAACAATTAAACGCAAAGCGAGTTGGTGACATTTATCCATTCTACAAATGTACTGCACTGTAAAAAAAATCAGTTGTTAATATGGTGAAATACTGGAAGCTGTGGTTGCCAAAACTCAACCGTAAAAATGACTACGTCAACGTATTAGACATTGCGGGATGTTGTTTTTAAACTGTAAATTTCACAGTTCAGAACCGGTATTTGTTTACGGTAATTTGCTTTAAAAACAATGTACAGTAAAATGCCGGCAGCTGCGTTCAGAACTTCACCGTAAAACGACAACATACACGTATAAGACGGTATGTTTTTGGGGAGTTGTAAATTGCAAAGTTCAAAACTGGGTCGTCGTGGTGCAGGGGTTAGAGAAGGTGTGCTGTGAAGCACAAGACTGGTGGTTCAAGTCCAGGCTGCGCTATGTTTCATGTCGAAGTGTCCCTGAGAAAGACACCTAACCCCTAATTGCTCCCCAGGCAAAAATGTGAAAAAGCCATGGGTTTAAAGTGTAATGTAAGTCGCTTTGGATAAAAGCGTCTGCTAAATGACCTGTAATGTAACGTAATGTAAAAACTGTTTTTTCAACAAAGTTTTATTTACGGCAAATGACTATTAAAAAATAGAAATATTATAAACTTGTTGACGGTAATTTGCGTTAAAACCCGCGTATCTGTTGAAAATACGGTAAAATGACAGCGATAACGTATAAGACGTTTCGGTTTGGAGTTTTGACCACTGTAAATTTCAAAGTCGAGAATGAAATGAAAAGGTGTATTGTAAAGCTGTATATATTACATTGAAATATGATACAATTTCAAACAGCTGTTACACTGTCACTCTAAATACAGTCCTTGTCAGAGATAAACACAGTAAGTACACTTTTTTATTTCAAAGTTCAAAGTAAATTGCAGGCAGCTGTGGTATCTAAAATAAAAATTCTGTTTACAATTGTTTGGAATGGATTTTAACATGTGCTTTTAGTCAATCACAAAGGAAATATAAAATAAAGTCAATTGCAAATTAAGATACAGATATCCTGAAGAAACCGCATGTGTCCATAAAGGATAATCCATGAGTAAACATGATTAGTCCTTTGCCCTGAGATGATCAAGAGTAACGAATCGCTGAGTCCAGACTTGACTGAAGAAGCCACACAACCCGATCTAGAGTCTAACGCGTAGATAATGTTCTACGTCTACCTTCCAGCGATGCTGATGAGTTTTACAAAAATCCATCTAAGTGTCAGCACTATTCCAAAAATGTACAACAGCTACTATCTACTGAACAACATCTTCATTCTGTGTGCTGTAGAGAACATACTATAACCTATATATATGAAAGGATGCAGCCGACACACCAAGAAACATGATCATTGCTGTAATGAGATAAAACATTAACTTGCTCAGACCAAAATGTCATTCAGTCGGCCAGCCCAGAGCTGTTTATCCTGTTTTTCTTTCTTTATTGTACCTTCCTTGCACTCAGAAATGCACATAATCCCACACTAACAGTATTAACACCCAAAAGGAGAATCAGTCAGCCATTAAGAAGCTTAAAAACCCATCTTCCTTAGAACATAAAGGACTGCCAACTCTCCCCAAACTTCCATTTATGTTCAACCGTTTTCCATCAGTAATTATTTTCTAGGGGAAAGCCCCATGATGTTCTCAGCCATTTTGTCTTAGTTACTACTAAAACATCTGTGCATGGCTATTTAAGCTTGGTTATGGGGACAGCAACCAGTTTCTAGGATTTGTGAATTTTTTTGTGGTGCACATTTGAATTAATTCTTCTGGTATGAGTTTGTGATTATAAAAAAAACAAAGAGAGACATGATAAAAATTGGTGGTTTCCATAATTTTTGCCTAAAATGTAATCACTAATGCCGAATAATTTCATTTAGATTTAATGTAAATGTTATCCTCTTTGCAGCACTGAGCATTTAGTGTTAAATTATTATTGCCATCAAGGGTGCGCTGGAGACGGCTTGAGAATCTGTCGATTCATTTAAGAAGAGAGAAGGAAAGCTCTTGAGAGTGAGGGCGAGAGGAGGACCAGGGATGAATAGCTGTCTCGTGAACTGAAAAGATAAAGTATCTGATCTCAATCGTTTGTGTCTGCCTCTCCCTGTTCACTTCCTCTTCTCTTCCGCTGCCCCTCGCTGATTCCTTTGGGCCCATTTAGTTAATTAAGGCCATGAAATGTTTCTCGAAGGCAATTATGCTGTGACATTATTAAAAGACCACCCTGCCTTGTATGTGCAGATTGTGTCCGTCCCTTGTCCTCCAACTGAAAGGAAACTTGCCTGACCTGAGCGGCCATTGGAAGAGGGTTTGGATTCATGCCGTGAAATGTAACATCAGCATCTTTCAGTCTCCTTTGACTGGTATTTTTATTCACTTCACTTGTAGATCCACATTTACTTGTATTACCATATTACTAGAGCGCTAAACATTTTCTGTAAGTGGATTTTCTTTTAGGGATAAGAAGGGCCTGACATCAGATTACAGACCATGCTCGGCTGGAGACGATCTCTTATAATTATGGGGAGGTGGGGGTGGACTGCTAGCTGGAGATTTTTAAGAAATCCCTTCAAAACAACGCCAAGGCTAAAATGGGAATAATACTGCTGTGATTTATTTAGCCTACCACTGCTGATAGATATACAGTATTTCTATGCGGAGCGTTAAAATACATACTGTTGTATTAAAGACAATCACATCATATTCTACCATGATAAAATTGAAGATTGACAGTGCTTAATGAGCATGCCATTGGGAAATGTATGTAAAAATACATAGTACGTGTTAACTATGAGCTCCAAATTCCAAGAACAATCGCATTTCTACTTTTAGACAATGAGCACGCTGGTTCGTGATCTGAATTTCCTGCACACAGACAAACAAAAACAAACCCATCAACACACGGAAGACTAAGATAATTTGCTCATGCTAATCAACACAATGTAAAGCCACAGTGATTTGTACAAAATGCAGAGTGATTTGTATCGCACCGCTTTTGTGTGTTTGAGGGGGGGAACCAAGAAGACATTCACAGAAGTACAGATGTAGATTTTTCTACTTCTAGGGCTATTTTGAGAAATATGCAAATATTCAGTGGAACAATTGACACCAAAGGTCGGTAATTAACATAAGTCAATTCCCCTGAGCGTCTTTTTGGAGTGAAATGTGGCAGCATTATACAGCACCTCTTCTCCCGGTACACGTACAATGCAAATGAAAGGCAGGCACATGCACAACACAACAAGCGGCAAGTGTGATCAGTAAAGACAGAGAAGAATGGCATGTTTCACATTTTATAAGCTACACACAAGTGTAAGATTGATGGCTGTCTATTCTCAATCGATCATTCTGTTTAGGCGCACGGAGGGCAGAAGAATCTCACAGTGGTCAGAGAGGAGGAAAGAATTATGCACAGCTCGCGCTGTGTGTATAGGGACACTGTGTTGGTAAAACACATCGCAATCTACAGTGGGTTCATAGTGGATTGTGACAGTTGTGACAAGCTGTGAGGTAATTCGTATGAACATCACATTTATTACAGGGCTTGCAACAATGATTCAGTTGGAGAGTGATCATTTTTTAACACACACACACATATATGGAAATAGGAAATATCCATCAACTGCAGAGCCGAAGAGTGTGTGAGAGTGACCAGTAATTTTGTAGTTAACGCATTTCAAGAAAATCACAGAGGCAAGTCTGATGTTTTTTATTGTTGTTTGCTTGGAAGGGGCAACACTTTAGCAAACTAAAAAACAATTAAGTTACTGTCATATGTCGACTAAGTTAACACAAACAAGATAACACGGTTAAAGATACAGTGGGAGGCCATTTCTAACTCTAACTTTACCATTTTCTCAGGATGTATTACCAACTCTGCACTGTCTAAGAAGAGACCACATGCTCTCGTGGGGTTGAGTTTACGTTAGCTCGACATTAGTAGCCTAACGTTAATGATTCTCACAGCTAATGCTAAACACAGGTGTAGCTAATCGTCACTAATCACTCTGATTTAAAACCGGCCTGCATCAATGTTAATAGTTGAGCTTATGCTTCTCCCATTCAAGCTAACAGACATAACTCGTAATGCCACGGACCTGATGTACTAAGGGATATGGATTTGGACTAGAGCTACGGGTCAAGGTGCCATCTACAGTGTACAAGTAAGTTATTTTAATATGCTAAACTCTCCTCATACTGTACTTTACATTTTTTACCCTATTTTAGTAAGGTCGTGGCTTGCAGACAAAAGAAGGATGAGCAGGGGAGCTGCCCGCTGTCAGACTGAGATCTAACGTTATTATATATATATATATATATATATATATATATATATATATATATATATATATATATATTGTTTTGCATTCCACCGGCGTTAATTCTGCTCTCCTCTCTTTGTCCTCTTCTCTAACCCTTCCCTCCACTCCCCCAACCTCTCGTCTTTCTTCCTCGCCTTCCATCCCAAAATCTCCTATCTCGTCGATCTTCTGTTTTCCATTTCCGTCTACTGTCGTCTCTCATTTCTATGCCTCTATTTCAGTGTCTCACATCAGCCTTTTGCCTTGTCTGTTCTGGCGCCTCTTTTATATACTTTGAGGTGTTGATCCTGGAGGGAATATTTAGCAAGTTGCATTTGCATGAATGTGTGATTTATTACTGTAACAAAGCCATGGCCTGTTTAACTGAAAATAACGCAATTTACATGATTGTGAAATTCCTTTGTGTTTGAGAAAATGGCATGTATTCATTTTCTATTACTTTATTGAATGATTATGTGGCTATAAACTACTTGTGTTTGACCCTTGATTTATGAATGTCTTGTGTACAAATGTTTTTGTACAAACAGCTGACGCTGAAGTCAACAGATCTGTAATATGAATGGAATCAATGACAATGAGTGGTGAATCACTTTGTGACCTCATGGTGTTTAAGCCCGCTGTGTAAAAGCATTTGACAACAGTGTTAATTTGGAAAATGTGGTATTTTTGTTTTCAGTTGTGCATGGCTCCAAACCCTTGAGCTCTCTCTCTCTCTCTGAAAAGTGCTGGTTTATTGAGCACATACATTAACCGCTAACTATGCGCAGGTAAAGCAACAAGGTAGCAATCTCCACAAACCACTGCTGCTGCAAAGACGGGAGAGCTCCAGCGGACAAAAAGCATCGTCGACTACAGTGAATTCACAAACAGAGCAGCTTCACATCCTGCTGACTGGCTGGGTTTGTCCAGCAAGGTAAGCACACGTTTGGCCAAGTTTTAAAAAGCAGCTGAGGTAATTTCAATTTACAATTACAATTTCACTGCGGCAGGACGGAAAAACGTTTTTATTGCCACCTACCAATTTAGATGACCTGAATCGGGGTGCGTGCAGTGCTTGCATAAGGGTGAGCGTGAGAGCGATTAACCCATCGTTCGTGATGAGAGAAAAATTATATGTACTGTATATTTTGTATCTATAATTTGCTATAAATGTGGGAGGTACTGCGTAGACATTAAGATATGGTCGCCATTTGCCGTAACATTGATTTTAAATGCGGCAATTCAATTATATCCCCATGTCTGACAAAGCATACTTTGTGAAGATTAGCAGGTAACATTCAATGCACCAAGTGCTGGGAATTATTTGAGATGTTGTTCGGGAAATGTGTCGAAACTCTGAAACACTATTTTAAAAATAACTCCATATCCGCTTTCTCTGGAGTGTTTGAGATATTGCCTGAGTTATTACATTTTTCATGTGTGAGCCTTCTATGACCTAAAGTGAGTGCTTTTCTCTGGTATTCCAACGCTTGCATCAATGGTCTGTGGGCCTTTCCCTTTGGCAGGATCCTCACAGCAGGATTTGTTGGCCTGTTAAAGGAACACTAGATGGTCACTTGGAATAAACCCATTCTTATCACATGCACTTAAGAAAGAACCTAGACGCTCCAGTAATCCATGACAAACGTCCTTTGCCTTCATATAATTTTTATTTGGATGCATTTTTTCCTTCTTTACTTGTTGACTAAGTAGAACAAGCAGCTTTATACTATTCTGTGACTCTGATTGACATTAACCTCAATAAGAGGAATTGCTGGTGAGATTTTGAACACAGGATGCTTGTTTTCCTTACTTTCCCTCACAGCAGTGAATCCCTCTATTTACCACTTCTTAGTTCCTGAAGTTTGGTCATATCATTCTCCAAACCTCCAATTGTATTGGGTACATCAACAATGAATTCAACTTCAATCATTTGCATTCTGTTTCCAATAATTTCCTCTCTAGTGTACAGTGTATTGAATACCGTCCAGTGGTTTAACTGTCGTGAGAGTCCAGCTTATTTGGCTGAGTCCGTAATAATGCCCATTATCACCCCAGTAATTTCCTCCCCATAAAACAGACCACAGATTCTTATCTAATACAGCTTCTAGATGTCTCTCTAGAGAAACGTATTCTTAAGGTTAACCCAAACAGACCTCTCCTCATATTGTTCGTGAGAGATAATTCTCTCTTAATTCTCAATTCTCATTTCTCCCAAGCGTTTTATTTAAAAAAAAACACTCTTCCTCTTGAGATTCACCAACGCCGGTCATCAATCTTTTTTGATCAAACTATATGGGCTGTCAGTCATCACTGTTTTTTTTTTTTATCATGTGAGTGATGGCTGTAAATGGCCACGCATGACATATTGACAAACCCATTTGCAGTCCTCGGGGAGAGAGACCACTGTCATACAGCGAGCAGCCTGGTGGGGTGAATGGGGTAATCAATGATTTCAAAAATATACAGTATGCGTATTCTTTGACATGTCCCCGGCTACAGAAAAGTCACACTTGACATTGTGGCATTATGGATGCCGATGTCCGTTGAATGCTTCACTACTTTTTGTCCTGACAAAAAAAATCTCAACAACCATTTACCACAGACACTGTGGTCACCACAGGATGAGGCGACAGCGTCCATGATAACAGCGTGCTGCTCTCATGAGCAATCCTTCCTTTAAAGAAATGCTCACAAATTACCACTGATGGATCCGTTATGAACTCCATTTTAGTGTCACCATTTCCTTCATTTTGAGAAATGCTTCATGCAATAGTGTTAATCACATATTATCAGCCTGACTGATGGAAGTGACACGTCTGAGACATGGTAGTGACAAATGCGGACACACAGATCTGGAAGGTAATTAGTCATTACTTAAACATGTAGCTTCTGAAGAATATTTTCTGTATGAATACATCACAGCAACAATCACCAGTATAACAATGCATAGGAGATGTGTGCAGTTCATTATCTCTCACAGGAACTGTCTCTACAGATCAGGGGAATCATTAAACAGAGGCATACACGTGTACATTTGAATACCTGTAAGAACAGGGGAGCTCTTGTTGTTAACACGAGACTTGCGCAGTCATATTGATTTCAAACATTTTGGACAAAAGTCTTCTAGAGCTGGTACTTCATTTAAAACGAGTGAAGTAGACAGGATCTAAACCTAAGAAGTCTGGCAAAAATACATGTTTTTCTTTAGGACAATTCTCAATAACAAACACCAATATCTTATAGCAGAACAGGAAGGAGAAAAAGTTGGGTCAATACTCGGATGTCTTCTCTTGCAAACATAAGATTCCTGTGACGCTAAATAACAACTAGACGTTAATCGATACTCAAGTAAAATACAAGTGCATAAGCACCAACACTTTACTGTAAATGTTCAATAAACATGTAATACTTGTACATTAATTGACATGTGTGTGGAAATGACTTGCCACAAACATCTACTGTTCGCTAATACATTCTCCTTACATGCTTTATCCTCCCGCTCGCCTCCCAAAAGCATTTTGACATTGAAACAATTTTTCAAAGAGAACAAAACAGAGAGACCTGTCCTGTGTGTATTTTAGTCAGAGCTTTTATTGTTAGGAGAGGAGGCGAATGCACAAGGCTACCACCATCTAGGGAAGGAGGGGGGCACTGTCTGGCTATAAGAAACGGAAAGACATTGGAGAGGAAGACGGGAGATAAGTTCAGTTCAGCACCACGGACAGCGCACCACATCAGCTCAGTGGACTGATCCGGCTCCGGCAGCCTCTGTGGGCGCCACCGTCGAGTACTTTGTCGGCCTCGCCCCGTGTTGGTGGAGGCTGTTGTTTTGTTTGTTTGTTTTTTCATTCGGGATTTGTTAAATATGAAGGCACGGTAGCAGCAGAAGAGAAGTGCGGCGCGTCGGAGCACAGGCGAGCCTGTTAGTCGGCGCGATCCTTACATCATCTCTTTATGAGAGAGAAATAGAGAGAGAGAGAGAGAGAGAGAGAGAGAGAGAGGGGGAGAGGGGGGGTGGGAAGAGAGAGAGAGAGAGAATCCGGGCTCCTCTTCGCCAGTCAACTGCCTCAACTGCGAAGCGAGTGTGACCGACCGGCGGTGCCTCCTCCTCCCCGCTGGTTCCTCTTTTCCTGAGAGTTTCTCCTCGCGCGCAGGTCGTGAAGATGCACCGTCCTGCCCAGGGACCGGCGTTGGTACTGTCGGTGGCTTTGTGGATTTTCTGCCACGTCAACAGTGTGCACGGAGCTTTGCCAACATCTCGTAAGTTGTTATTCTTTATTTGTTGTTGTTTTTTCGGAGGGGTGGAGGGGGGATGCGTCTCCTGGCGCTGAACGGGTGAGTCTGGATGTCGGAGGCAGCCCGAGCCGGTCTCCGGAGGGGAGACCTGGGCGCTCTCCGGCGGGGCGGCATTTTTGCACACGGCGGTTCCAGGCGGGTCACTCGGGTGCTGAAGCGCCAGGCTGCGCCGGGGAGAAGGAGCAGGAGCGGGCTTACCTGCTGACTTTAGATCTACACGTGTTAACTCCGGGGGATCTGTCCTGCATTGGTTTGTAGGACCCGGGGCTTTAGGAACGTCGCGGGTTTTTTTGGATCCTCACGGGCTCAGGTTATCACGTCTACAATTCAATTGAGATGAGCTATCCGTGGTTCCGTCTCACTCCTCGGGGGTCATTGCATTTGAGTGAAGAGTTTGAATCCATTTCACAAATTGCTTTTTAATAAATTATTACACTGGATTAGCCAAAAATCAATCCTAATAAAGGGGTTTGTTGAATCACCAAATTATACAAATACGCACTAAGTATTGTGGAAGATCTTTATTGATCTAGATCGAATTTAGTTTTGCAGCAAACGGTCAGACAAATACTTTTAAGTGCAAAGAATGAGTGTCTTTTGTATGTAATGCATGTGCGTAGTTACTGCACTCTTATAACTTATATCTTATATCTTCACTTATTGTATTACCCGGGGTATGTTTTGGATCGTGCGGTGTCTTTTTGGGGCTCTTGTCCATCTTACAACAACTCAATCACGATTGGTTCCGTAATGCACCGGAGTCATCCACACTTGGTTCGGCGTCATTCTGACGGTGGCGGAGTCGGTGTGACTCTGTGAATGATTTCCCCCCGGTGGTCGCGGTCAGCGGGGCTTCTCGTGTCCCGGATGAACGTGATGAACGGGGATGCGCCTCATTGATCGTCTCGGACTGCATACGCGTGCCAGCACATACTGTATGTCTCCGTGTGCGCGTCGGCAAATGTTGGAGAGCGACCTCGCAGCGTCACAGTAAACAACACCTCGTTTCTAAAGCTGTATTGATCCGTTTGAGGAAATCCTCAGTCCGCTCGCTCTGTGCTGACTGGGTCAGCAGCAAGTAGAGACTCACTGTGTTCCTGAAGGAAAAAAAACCCAGCTGGGAACAAGCTTGAACAAAACTATTCAAAAGACATGATGAAGGCGGTATGCGTGTTTAGAGTTGTTAAATCTTTAGTTACGAAATATGATTTCCTATTATCTACGCATTATTTAGCCATATAAAAGGACTGTGCTTTGCTTTGAATAATAAATGTCTTCAAAGAAATGCTGAACTGTGTAAGAATATTCTTCTCAAGTAGATACTTAAAAAGAATCGGTCTCTTATCCCAAAAATATAACTTTATACAAACAAATGAGATACATGCATCTATATCTATTCGGAATATATATATGAAAACTTGATGAATCACATCTAATGCATCTTGGTATACTGTATATAGCATTGCAGACAATAATACAACACATCAGGAATCAAATTGTGGAGAAGGATCAGGGTAGGATTTGAAAGATGGCGGGATGGGGGGGGGGAGATGAGAGAGAAAGTCCTATGAGCAGCAGCATGTTGTATTGGACCAGCAGTTCCACCACGAGGCTTAAATGGGACTATGTGCAACACTTTGGGGACATGGACAATATCTTTGAGACCAATGGTCTGAGGCACGGACTAAAAAATAACATTTCCATCCTACCAAGGCCAACACACTCTCAGGCTAAAAGTCAATGGGCCTGTTGAACCACAGACTGTGTGAAGTGTCCCATGTCAACACTTAAAATCTGCTTTTATTCATCTAAGGGGGGATGTTTACCAAAAGTAACAGAGAGCGAGAGGGAGGGAGGTATACGGATTTGTATGTTAAGATCATGCATTCTGGCTTTAACAAATTGATTGTATGCTGAACAAACCGCCACATGCAAGCTGAAATACAAACCTGCATAAACTGAACGATCAGTCACTTGCATAACGTGACAAATAAATCACTTTTGTACTAGTATTTGAAATATAGTCACATATATGTGGCCCAATTGTACATTATTCATGAATATTATGTTTACTCTAATCCAATTTTCTAAAATGCCAACCTTTAATCTGTTGATCCCTGCGTAATGGACGGGGTTTGTGGTGTAAACACTGTCGTGGAGTTAGTGACACTGTGGGTGGTTTAATGGGATGCCCCCAGAGGCTGTCTCCTATAGAATCAGATTAGCCTTTTCTCATTTCATTAAGCACGCTAGACCATTCGACACCAAAAATGTGCCTGCTCGCGCCCCCAGGGCTGAACAGAGCAAGACAAGGGTTTCCTGTTATTCAATACAATTAATTATATACCAATAGACAAAAACACAAATGTTGTTGTTTGAGTTTGAAGCATTAATAGTTCATCCCATTAGAAGGGGTGGCCATTTAGGCTTTGTACCAAAGTGGCTAATTTTAACATTTGACTTGTTGTGACGGATTCAAAGCAAACAAAAGAGAAATCTGGCGTTTACTCACATTCTTTCTTTAATAAGAATGGTGAAAGCAACATTTCTCAACAGATGAGTCACTGTGACCAGCACACAAGTAATCCTGATGTGCCAGTTGTGTATCCCTGTATCTTGCGTGTGTTTCGATGGCTCCGAATAGGAGGTGGTAATAATCGGATTAGAGCTGGAGGAAGCAGACTGGTATGTCTCAGATCAGCTCAATACTTGTTGATACCGGTGTTTAGCGATCCTTTCCATTTATATGGGTGCGCCGGCCTGTCTTTTGGTTGTGTGTGTGTGTGTGTGTGTATGTGTTTGTCCACATTGTCCCTGTTTCTAATGAGTCGAGCGATCATTAGTTGAGTTGTTAATTGCCATTGTTGTTCTCATTTTACCTGTTTTCCTCTGTCTAAATTGCCCTCCTTTTTTTTTTTTATCTGTCGATCCTTTGCACTCCCTGACGAATCATCCTATTCCCCTCCTCGCCTGCTGCCCTCCTTCTACATCTTTAATTCTCTCAGCAATGGTTTTATCATCTGGCCACAATCACTACGTGCCTCCTTGTATTTTCTCATCCACCCAGTCCGTCTTCCTCACAATCTGTCCCCTTCTTGTTCTACTGATAACTAATCTGTTTGCCAAAATGTCCCCGCCGGCCGCTCTTCAAGGGAGTCGTGTGATGCTGCTTGTCCACGCTGCTACCAGCTCTTTCAGTCTCGTACAGCTCTTAAACTTTTCTTGCCCCATCAAAGTGTGACTATTTCATCGCGCGTAAACATTTGTTTGATGACAGAACTTTTGAGACAAATATGCTTGACCACAGCCGTCCAAAAAGCCCTTTTCTCCCGTGGCTCCCACGGCAGTGAATGAATATGAAAATTGTCCAGACAAGGATAACTTAACACATCAGTTTGCCGATGAGCCTTCACCCTCGCTCATTTCAGAATATGTACTCAAACTGTCAGAATCAAAGCACCGCGACTGTTTTCTTTTCGTCAATTCGCCGTCAGCTTTATACGTGAACTGGGGGCTGATCCGTCCCCTTGAAGAATTGAAATTTCTCACTTGAAAGTGAATGCTTCTGCGCAGCTTTCTGTGTTTCATTATGGGAGCGAGGCCACAGAGATACAAATAGGCACTGACGGGTCATGCGGCATAATTCCCTTAACAATGTTAGTAACGTAAGACACACACAGAGGCCCACACCACACAATTCGCGCTAAGTGTGTGTGTGAACAAGTGCAAATACACCAGATATGAAGATTACTCTAGTGGAATGTGTTCTCGTTAGAACCCTTCAGGATTTGTCCACCTTGTTAAACCGAGGTTCGCTGAGACGGAGCGTAGGCTGGCAGGATATGAGGAGGAAGAGGAGAGTTTGTTAGAATAGGCAGACAGCTTGAGGAAATATGGTCTTGAGTTGAAGCTTTTCTCTGACACCTTGTCGTTCAACATTACCGTTTTTCCTAGTTGCATCATGGCCTTCGATTAGGTCGAAACTGGCTGTGTCCCCCTACTGTGACTGTGGCTTCATAACTGCTTGCTCAGTAGATGAAAATGATTATCACCTACGTATTAATCGGTAGATTCCTATAGTCAGATTCCTGTCAAAGATGGTCGTAGCCTGTCTATGTCCATAGGCTGGAACTAACTCCCGTTTTACAACATCATGTTCATTTAGAAATCCACTGGGTCATTTTTGTTCAACATGCCTCATCAGCAGACTATTTATAGCTTAGGATGTGACTTTTCAACCTTTGACTAACTTCTGAGCCATATCCACTATTTCCGTAGACGTTGCAGCAAATGCAGCAAGATTCTGCAAACTCAATGTCTATTTATGTGTAACTCTGAATGTAGTTCTGAACCACACTTTACAGCTGACTTAGCTGAAAGCTTAAAATGAAAGAGGTTAAAATGCTGTTTGTTAAATGTATCAGTTACGCCACTAAGATGAAGCCAAATGATACGGGTACAAACATCTGTTGTAGAATAATCTTTGGGGAATGCCAGAATTCTGGGGGTTTGGTACTGAACAAAAAGCAGTGAAAGTGACACAAGTGAACCTGACCCGACTCATTAGTGTCTAGTGACAAATTAGTGTCAAAAGCGCTACGAAGGAAAAGTGGGCAGTGAACTCTGTCCGTGGCAGAGCGGACGTTTAGGCACGCTGACAGGCTGTTGTAACCCTTTTGTACAGCCTCTTGAACTAAATCCAATGCTGGGGAGGGCATCGGCGTGAAAAAATTACAGTTGCTAGTGCAACAATGAGGACATGATCCCACACTGGCATCGCACCAAATTGTGTTGGTTGCAGCAGGCTGCAGCCAGGGACCGAATCCCAGGAGGCAAGCATTTCTACTCGGCCCACTTTGGTGTTGCTGTTTGGATTTTCTTTAACAAATGCACATGAATGTTCATTTACAAGGCACTGACCATGTGAAATGAAGGCACCATATTACTTGGCAGAATAATATCAT